CAAGATGAGTGGCGCTGCCCAATAAACTCGCCCCTCGGGGCAAAATTTAATTTAATTTAACTACTACTTCTACTATTACTACTACCTCTACTACCTACTACCATAACTACTACAGACAGACTAGGTCCTGGTGTCCAAACTGGGCTGGACCATTCTCCAAATATTGACATCTAATGTTATATCGACTAAAAGTAGAGTTACCCCTGCCAACACCAGCCGAAGTTAATATAACAGTATTATTACGAGCACAGTTTATCGTTTCTTTCAAGGCAAAGCGACGAGATGGGCTGAAAATATCCCACGGTAAACATAAATGATTATTTCCGAGCGGCTACATTGATCATTTCAATGGCAGCCACAGGGTTCAGTTCCAGCTTTTGAGTGTTTTAAGTTCAAAGTCAGAATGATGACACGTTTTCTAGATACTGAAGGCAGTGGGTCGAGAAGAAACCCTGGAACTCAAGACGTGACAGTTCGGTGGGTTATCTTGAGATGATTTCGGGGCTTTTTAGTGTCCCCGCGGCCCGGTCCTCGACCAGGCCTCCACCCTCAGGAAGCAGCCCGTGACGGCTGACTAACACCCAGGTACCTATTTTACTGCTAGGTAACAGGGGCATAGGGCGAAAGAAACTCTGCCCATTGTTTCTCGCCGGCGCCTGGGATCGAACCCAGGACCACAGGATCACAAGTCCAGCGTGCTGTCCGCTCGGCCGACCGGCTCCCTGCGTTTCTTTACTATAAAAATAACTTTAAATTACTAAAGTTATTTCTACCCGAGGGAATACTAACGAAACCTGGCAATCAGTGTAAGTAGTAAGCAATATTATATCATTCCTGCTGAAGATGTATTAATATATATAGAGGGAAGCCGGTCGGCCGAGCGGACAGCACGCTGGACTTGTGATCCTGTGGTTCGATCCCAGGCGCCGGCGAGAAACAATGGGCAGAGTTTCTTTCACCCTATGCCCCTGTTACCTAGCAGTAAAATAGGTACCTGGGTGTTAGTCAGCTGTCACGGGCTGCTTCCTGGGGGTGGAGGCCTGGTCGAGGACCGGGCCGCGGGGACATTAAAAGCCCCGAAATCATCTCAAGATAACCTCTCAAGAGATATACGAAAGTCCTTAAGGAAATTCCTGTTTCAATTCTTCCTTCGTGGTTTGACAGTCACATTTTTCATCACGTGTTAATTTTCGTGATTTACACACACATCGTGTGTTAATGAAATAATCTTCGTTGAGGTCTGTTCAAGATATTTTGTGTGCTCATGTAATACTTTTTTGCGCTACCGCTCGCAGGATAGGTATGGGGCGCACAACAAACCACCCATCTCCCGCGGCAAACAATAAAACAATCAATCTAACAATCTATTAAGTTATTCCGACGTTATTCCTAGTACTGTTTGCCGAGTTGAAATTAGTGACAGAAACTCTTGGGGAAAAAACAAACAAACATTCGTTAGAGCTCATTACAACTCAACACCTCAAAAGTCCTTTTGAAAACTGTCACTACAAATGTCTACTTAAACTCGTTCATTAATTGCGTGAAAGTTCACACCTGCGTATATCCCCCTTAAATGAACATCTTGAAGACGTAGATCGACACTAACGTGCCCATTAACCGAGTGACACTAATCGTTATATATGCCTGGCAACCGCTTATCTGAACCCCCTTGAAGACAGAGTATAGACATTATAACTCCTGTGCGTAGATTTATATATTTATATAATGATATAAGTTATAAAGTATTTATGTTCATTTCACTTTAGCTGTCAGTATGTGCAAAGCGGCTACCTGCGTACACACATTTAATACATAAATCACAAGAATAAATGCACACATACATAGGATGTGTATATATATATATATATATATATATATATATATATATATATATATATATATATATATATATATATATATATATATATATATATATATATATATATATATATAGCGTTTCGGGCAGGTCCTTAATCCTAATATTCCCCGGAATACGACCCGCCAAATCGTTTAAACCACCAGGTACCCATTTTACTGTTGGGTGAACAGAGGCTACAGTTAAGGATTGGCGCCCAGTCAATCCTCCCCGGACAGGATACAAACCCAGGCCAAAGCGCTGGCAAAGCGCCGTGCGAGTGCTTTACCACTGTGCCGCTTTCAAGTCCCGTATATATGTACGCACTGTACATAAGATACATGTTATCTCTCTCTCTCTCTCTCTCTCTCTCTCTCTCTCTCTCTCTCTCTCTCTCTCTCTCTCTCTCTCTCTCTCTCTCTCTCTCTCTCTCTCTCTCTCACTTACCTGTAACTTGGGGTCATTAAAGAGACTCCTGATGGTAGACTGCACTAAGACGTTCATCACATCTTTGAGACCCTCGTCAGGAGTCAACACCCTCAGGCCCTCCTGTAGGGGAGACGCAGGGTGAGACACACTCCCCCGAGACACACACTCACACACGGAGAAAAAGACTGAGAGAGTATATATGAATTTAAATTTAAT